ATGCTGATACTAATTGTTTAAAGTCCAGAGAAACCAATCCCCTAAAAACTCTACTTTTGGCTCATAAGTAGGGCAGATTTTGGTTATTTTCACCAAATTATGTAATCCGAATTTAATACAAACTCTCCTTCTAAGACCCTTTTTAACCACAAACCTATAAGAGAGCTGCGTAGTCATGATTTGTGCAACTTTCTCTTCTTATTAAAGTGATAATATAAAGCTTTGTGTGTATTTTTTAAGCAACAAATTGACCAAAACAAAACGGGAAACGCTCCAGCTTGAAAGGCCTGTCAACATAGAAAGTTTAACTATATAGAACTTTTAGAAACGTCAATGGGCTGTCCAAAAATGAAGAGATATTGAGGATTTAAAACACTATCGTTCTGATTTCTGGATTTTTTTCAGTATCAAAATTTGTATAGACTGTCGAGCCTTTTCTTTAGAATCAAAACTTTGAAGACTTTGTTTTGTTGCAACATGAGCCAGCAACTCTCAATAATAAACCAATAAACCAGTTTGTCCAAAACAGAATAATGGGCCCGTGCTGGAGATTTAAAAGTGGATTCTGTAACTTTTTGGTTGGGGGTCCGTGATGGATATGTCATTGCTCTACCTGGAATGTTTAAGCAGATTTACCTTACATTTATTCAAGTACAGGTGGTTTCATAGCTCAAAAATATCCCAGAAAAACAGGAACTCTGACTGTGACAGGTTGTCTCTCCACAGATCTGACCTGTAACTTGATCTGGGTTGGGCTCCTTGAAGATAGAACGGTTTAATACCATACTGTGAAACATTCCAGACAAAGCAATATCATTTCCGTGTAGAAAAGCACTTGATGGACCCTCCACCAAAAGAGTTACACAATGCACCTTAAAGACCTTTTTTGTGTATCGTGGGTAGTTTTGTGTTTTAGTTTTAGTTTTTCCTCAAGTGAAGCAAAAAAGAGAGAGCCACTGTCTGTGTGAATGTTCATGTATGTTAGTCCGATACACAAAAAAGTCACAATAAAAAGGTCTAAAAATCGACAAATCGATGTATAAGTCTCGCTCTAGTTTCCTGCAGGTCGAGTTTTTCAGCTGAATGTTCCATGATTCAGCTCTTTCTGTTGGAGGTGTGAGAAGAGCTTGAGGCTGGAGCTGTGGACACGTGCCGCCACTGTTCGCCTCTTCAAAACGTCTCTTTTCAGTCAAAATGTCAGTTTGAGACACACCGTTTGTCAAGAGCCTCATTTTTGTTTGACTGCTCTTCCGCGCTCTAGGGCTGTTGTACTTAGCGTTGGACAGCAGGTTTTTCCAGTCCGGGGGTAACGGCGATTTACGTTCAAAAACAAAAGCCGCGGCAGGGTAAACGAGATAAGTACTTACGGTTAGTCCCGTCCCCCGCGGCTTCTACACAACAAGAAGGTTCTGTCGTATGATTATTGTTAAACTACTGCGAGGCCGTGTCCTGCTTTACGGCTCAAAGTAGCAATTACCACCTCTGGAGAAAACAGCAGCTGCTACATTCTTCCCTGAGCTCCTCACAAGTCTGGGGCAATAAAGCGGTAGTTAGAGAGACTAGAGGGGTAAATAGGGAGGTGTTATGGGGCAGTAAAAGGGGGGTAATAATAGGCTGAAAATAGATGCGTATATCTGACAAATAATCAATGCACCCGTATGTAAGAGGTTATTTTATATCCCCTATAGATTATTCTACTCTGCTCTTACAGATCTGTATAATCGTTTCTTTTTGCATGTACCTCTTTTGGTGAAATGTTCAGCAGTTACCGTGGTGACACAATGCAAACACTGACAAAAAAAGTTTTAAGATAGCCTGAAAAAAGTAAAGTAACTAAGGCCCCGTCCACACTAGTACGTATTTTACGTCGTTTTTGTTGTGGATGCAGTGTTCGTTCACACTAATCTGACTGAAAACGGCTCCTGACACGAACGATTTGGTGTCACCAGCTCCCACGAATTAGTACAGATCTGATCTGGCACCGTGTGGATGCCTGAAAATGCTGATACGCTGATGTAGGTCTATGGTAATTCACCGTCAAAACGCTAAGAGGCTAGAATATATGTCCATTCATATCAGTCTTTGCGTACGACCTGCAGACGTATAATCTCTGAGAAGTTTAACATGAACCATCTCCAACGCGACAGAAGCACAGAACAGACTCACCATCAGCAGAACACCCCTCTGTCACAGAAGGAACACTCATATTCCACTGAGTCTTGTCCTTTATTCTGACAGAAGCTGAACCACATCAGCGCACAAAAGCGAGCTGTTTTTGGAGTGCTCAGTTTATGCAAATGAGCCATGTGGTTTTAAGTTTTGTTTCTGTAAAATGTAAACAAACGTGCTCAAAGCTGTGTGGATAGGGAAGGCTTACAGACACAGTGACGACATGTCTGGACGCAAATCGTTTCCGATACGGTGATACGCGCATTCGTTTCAGTGTAAACGTAGTCTAAGTGCAAGTGTGTAAGTGTGTTTATGTTATCAACTGTTGTAGTTCCAACCAAATCCGTTCTTTCTGGTCAGATTGTGTTAAAATAAAGATCAGATTCAAGTCTAATTTGAGTAACAGAGCTTCAGACAGAGTAGTGCTTTCAATATTTTGTCCGAGCCTATATATGCAGGATTTGTGTGTTAATCATGGGTGAATGAAACAAAACACAACTCCAGGTACATTTTTGATGAGAAAACAACATTAAAACAGATGCGGAAAATGGTGTAATATTAGCCTTTTAAAAGATAATTCAGTTTTTTTATATAATTTTTTGACTTTATGTTACAGATATTGTTCCTGTGGCTTTCATCAGCAACAGTCCTGCATCCGGGCTCAGCTGTCTTTTACCTTTTGTTCTAGTGAAGGTGTATCTAGTTTAAACACAATGTGGAGCCCTTCCTGTATTACAACATGACATCACGAGGTGGAACAGCGTGTTTTCAGTTTGAGAGAAGAGCTCCGCCTACATTTACAGTGTGTGAAACATGTGTGAATGAAACAAAAACACAACTCCAGGTATGTTTGTGATGAGGAAACAACATTACAACATAGATTTTAAAAAACAAATATTGCATAACATGGGCCTTTTAAATGAGTATCTAATTTTAGTATAAATTTTTGACTTTATATTTTCCGGGAGTGGATTTCTGTTTTGTGTTTTCTGGTTGAGACTAGACCTCAGCCTTAATATAGTGACGGTGTATGGAGTTTAAAGCCAACGTGGAGCACTTCCTGTATTACAACATGACATCACGAGGTGGAACAGTGTTTTCAGGTTGAGACCAGAACTCCGCCTACATTTGCAGTGCGTGTTACAACTCCAGGTGTGTTTGTGATGAGGAAACAACATTATAACATAGATCAGAAAACAGAGTAACATAAGCCATTTAATAGAGTTTAAGTAGAGAACAGAAAAGATGATATTTTCTATTCAACACAGTGGCTTTAAGGATGATTCCTGTGGCCTACATCACCAACAAAATCATAAACTGGGACACCCCCGGTTTGTGGTGGTTGGTAATAATAAAATTGTGAAACGAGCGATTAAAGAAAACTGTTCTGCACTCAGTATAGTCATATTTTCTTTGTGTTTTGCTCATTTTTAAGCAGGTTCTCTGTTTTACTTAATGATAAATGATGTTTCTTTTTGTTGGCAGGTATGAGATTGGTCAAAAATAGGGACAACAGGGACATTTCTTTAAAAAAAACGAGGACAAATCACTGGTTTGCGGTGGTTGGTAATAATAAAATTGTGAAATGAGTGTGTTATTAAAGAAAATAGTTCTGCATTCGGCCCAATCATGACTAACATGTGAATAAAGTCCCATTTTCTTTGTGTTTTGGTCATTTTTAAGCAGGTTTTCTATAATTTACCTCAACAAATGATAAATTAAGCCTCTCTTTACTGTTGGCAGGGACCAGATTGGTCAAAAATAGGGACACTTGGGTAATTTCTTGTAAAAAACTGGGACAAATCACTGGTTTGTGGTGGTTGTAATAATAAAATTGTAAAATAATTGCAATGTATTTGTTTCATGTAACATGTGAATGTGTGTGGTCAAATCAGTGTAAATTTACAAAAATTAAAATTAAGTAAAATTGGTCAAAAATAGTGCATGCAAATAAATAATAAAATTGTAAAATAAGTGCGTAATTAAGGAAAATAGTTCTGCATTCAGCCCAATCATGAATAACATGTGAATATAGTCACATATTCATTGTGTTTTGGTAATTTTTAAACAGCTTGTCAGTAAGTTTACCTCAACAAATTACAATTTTTAAGACTCTTTAGTGTTGGCAGGGATCAAATCGGTCAAAAATAGGGACAACTGGGACATTTCTAGTAAAAAAAATTAACAAATCACTGGTTTGTGGAGGTAAGTAATAATAAAATTGCAAAATAAGTGGGTAATTAAGAAAAATAGTTCTGCACTTGGGTTATTCATGACCAACATGTGTCAGTATAGTCACATTTTCTTTCTGTTTTGGTCATTTTTAATCAGCTTTTCTGTAAGTTTACCTCAACAAATTACAATTTTTAAGCCTTTCTTTACTGTTGACAAGGCTGAAATTGGTCAAAAATAGGGACAACTGGACATTTCATGTATAAAATTGGGACAAATCAGTGGTTTGTGGTGGTTGGTAATAATAAAATTGTAAAATAAGTGTGTAATTAAGTAAAATAGTTCGGTACTTGGCCCATTCATGACAAACCTGTGTCAGTATAGTCACATTTTCTTTGTGTTTTGGTCGTTTTTAAGGAGGAAAATAGGGATGTTTCTTGTATAAAACTGGGACAATCACTGTTTTTTTTTTTTGGATAAATCTGCTGGGACAGGGGACATGGAGCTCCAAACTGGGACTGTCCCGGGTAAATAGGGACGTTTGGTCGCTCTACTAACAACGTCCTGTCTCTGTGTTTCGTCGGCTGATAAATTAACCATAAGAGAGACACTCAATTTGTGCTGAATTAAACAGAAGCAGGTGACCGAGTGTGACTTACGTGCTGCATGCCGTCATGGCTTGACAGGACTCCCCGGTGCAGAACTCGGAGATGGTGCTGTACTGAAGGTTGATAAGGTTGAAGAATGTCGTTGCTGTGGAGACAGAGACACACACATGAGTTATTTCAGTCAGTCAGTCGCAAAAAAACAAACCTGCGAAAGAACGACGAAAATAGAGGCAGAAGAATACGAGTGATCTATTTGCGTCATGTCACTCGGCGTAGTGAGGACACGCCTTCGACTGTTCAAGTCTGTGGATCTGTCATCGTTTTAAAAGGTGTCTGAAGACGAGCGTGACTGACTAACTGTGAAAAACTGTCCTGTGACTGTAGTTTTACGTGTGAGACTTTTTTTTTTAACGCACAAATCATTTCAATCCTGTTGTAGTTCCAACCAAGTCAAATTGTGTTAAAATAAAGCTCAGATCAAGTCTAATTTGAGTAACAAAGCTTCAGACAGAGTAGTGCCTCCAGTTAGCTTCACGCTTACAGGGAATATTGATGATCAGCAGCTGAATAAGTCTGTTTTTGCAACTTCCATTTATTTTTTTGTTTTATTTTTATGTATTTTTGTGAGCTAATGTGCCCATGTAATTTCCCCCAGTGAATCAATAATGAAAGCTTAATGCATTAACTTAAAGCTGCATTATGTAACTTTATGATTTGTGGTCCGTCACCTGCTTGTTTCTATGGAGATGTCTTCACTCTGTCTGAAATGTTCCGCAGTATGACATTAAACAGCTCTACCTTACATTTATTCAATTACAGGTGGTTTTATAGCTCTAAAATACCTAGAAAAACAGGCACTCTGATTGTGAGCGGTATCACCTCTCCACAGATCTGACCTGTAACTTGGTCTGGTTTGGTCTCCATGAAGAACGAAATGGATAGTTTAATGCCATACTGTGAAACATTCCAGGCAAAGCAATAACATCTCCACAGAGTAAAGCATTTGATGGACCCTCGACGAGACAAATGACACAATGGCCACATTTACATGAGGTTTTTGATTCTGAATTAATTGTTCTGAATTAAATAGTTCGGAATTAAAATATTCTCCTTCAAGTTTACATGGAAATAATAATTCCGAATTGAGGTTTAAATGGAAAAGATGTTAAATCGCCTTTATTTAGTTACGTCAACGTCTGGGGGTGGGGAAAGGTTCTGATTGGACAGGGACACAAACGTATTCACTTCAGCTGCTACCGGCTTTTTTGTCATCTCGGTTTGTCGTTACACCACAGACACAAACATGATCCAAACTTTGTTCACAGTTATTTCGATGATAACTAAAGCAGCAGCTGGAGAATTTTCTCATCACGCTTTACATCTGTCAGCTAAGGAGGAGGGAAGAGTGTTGGAGAAGGGAGGATGAAGACAAACTGAGTGTGAGGCTGCTCTACCTCAGCCCACTCCTGCATCCCACTCGCAAATCCAAAGAGCAGTGGATGAAAGTCCGAAGCGAGAACTGGTGGAGCCGAATTGCATCAGAAGTGCGACCCACCGAGCATGTACTGAATGACCGGAATTATTTTTAAGAGGAATAAAACATTTACATGATCGAGGAATAAATTAATCGGAAAAAAAATCTGAATAAACTACCCACTTACTTAGGAATTAAATTTAATTCTGAATAATCATTTTCATTAGGAGTGTTTACATGGTCTTTTTAAAGCAGAATTATTTTTTTATTCTGAATGAGATAATTTTTATTGTAAACGTGGGAAAAGCACTTTTAAATATTTAGCATTTGACACCCTTGGCACAAACAATAAGAGGACAAAAATAGTGTCCGAAGGTAATCAGAGGGTAAACGTGAAACTCTTCGTGCCATGTCGTTCTTTGTAGTGAGGACACACCTTCAGTATTCAACTCGTGCTTTTATCATCGTTTTAAAGAAGGGAGGAGGCTGCAGAGAGCTGCACAAACGGGTAAAACCACCAAGGCAAACAACTCAACTGACTGCCGTGTTTCTAAAAATGTTTCAAGCACTAAAGCCTGCACAGAATTTTTAATAGGTCTATTAAGTTATTTTTAGATCACTAATTAAAGGAGTAAAAGCAGGCATCTTAATAATCACAAGTATTTCTGCCTGACTGACCCTAAAAACGGACTCTTGTGAACTTTAAAATTTTTCTTCATTATTTGTCTCCAAAACCAGAATGAAAAAACTGATAACGATTCACTTTTTCAGTTTTCGATTTTGTGTTTAAATGAATAATGGAAAAAAAGGATAACAGCTGTTTCCCGTTTCTGTGACTTAAAGTGAGATGCCGGACTGAACCAGGACTGAATCAGGACTAAACCATTTTCAGTCCTGGCTTGGTCCTGGTGTGTTCTCAGTCCTGGTCTGGTCCCGGTGTGGTCCCTGTGTCAGTCCCGGTCTGTTCCCAGTCTGTTCCCAGTCTGTTCCCAGTCTGGACCTGGTCTCAGTCCCCGTCTCAGTCCCCGTCTCAGTCCCCGTCTCAGTCCCCGTCTCAGTCCCCGTCTCAGTCCCCATCTCAGTCCCCATCTCAGTCCCCGTCTCAGTCACAGTCTGGTCCCGGTCTCAGTCACAGTCTGGTCCCGGTCTCAGTCACAGTCTGGTCCCGGTCTGGTCCCGGTCTAGTCCCGGTCTTGTCCGGTCTGGTCCCGGTCTCGATCCCGATCTCAGTCCCGGTCCAGGTCTCAGTCCTAGTCTGGTCCCAGTCTGGTCCCAGGTCTCAGTCCCCGTCTCAGTCCTAGTATGGTCCTGGTCTAGTGTCTGGTCCCGGTCTCAGTCCCAGTCTCAGTCCTAGTATGGTCCTGCTCTAGTCCCGGACCTGGTTTAGTCCTGGTTCAGTCATCTCCAAAGCTCAAAACGCTCTGTCCCACGTTATGATGTCATGAAGCGGTAGTTTTACTTTTACTTTTTAGTTCAGTAGAGATTGGGAATTCCAGGGCTGAAACGATCCAAATGATTCTAGTGAAGCTGTGCGGAGCTTAAAAACACAGTGGAGCACTTCCCATATCACCACATGACATCACAAGGTGGAACGAAGTGTTTTCTGTTTGAGAGAGAAACCTAAATATGCGGTTTTGGTGTTTAATGTGTGAATTAAACAAAACGAAACACAACTCCAGGTCTGTCTGCGATGAGGAAACATTAAAACTTTAAATTGCGTTAATGAGAAATTGTTTCCTTATTGTAAATCAAAACCGCATTTCTTTAGATTTAATCACGAACTATTAGTTGTGGAATTAACATTTACATTTAATAAGAGGCGGTTACAAGTTGGCAGAAGCTCCGCGTTACATAAGTCCTGTTTTATAATGACGTGTTCGGACTTGCCCGAGTTCCAGAACAGAAAAGGGCAGAGGAGTTATGATTTAATGATTTTCCCCCCCGATCTCGGCGCAGGCTCCACTGGATACGGCGCTAAAACAAACCCGGAGAGAGACACATTAAAGTTCCCAAACCACAGCGAGTTTACACAACGCCAGAAATTATGCCCTGACGGCGATTATAAATTTTCGAAGCTCGAGTTTGGGTAACAGAGCGGAGCTGGCAGAGGGAGATAATGTTTAAAGTTACGCCGTGAAATGTTGATGGGAACAGGTCTGGATTCTGTTAGTGAACTCTTTTTAGCGTCAATAAACTCCTGGAGAGGTTTTGTGCCAGCAGCATACCGAACTATTACATGAACAGTGCTTAGGTACGAGCTGTTATGGAAAGTTTGGTTTGGTGTTTTGCCTTTTTAAGTCCAGGTTCAAAACATACTCGATCTATTCAGACGGGCTTTTAAACACTCAGTAATGTAGTGACACTCCGGACTTTTGTTTTAATAAATTGTTTTGAATGTTTTTAATACTGTGTTGATTTTATTGTGAATGCTTTTATACCGTGTTTAGTTTAATTGGAATGTTGTTAATGTGAATGTTTTTATACAGAGTTGATTTTAAAGTGAATGTTTTTATACCGAGTTGATTTTAATGCCAATGTTTTTATACCGAGTTGATTTTAATGCGAATGTTTTTATACCGAGTTGATTTTAATGCGAATGTTTTTATACCGAGTTGATTTTAATGCGAATGTTTTTATACCGAGTTGATTTTAATGCAAATGTTTTTATACCGAGTTGATTTTAATGTGAATGTTTTTTATACCGATTTATTTATTGTGAATCTTTTTATATTGTGTTGATTTTAATGTGAATGTTTTTATACCGAGTTGATTTTAATGTGAATGTTTTTATACCGAGTTGATTTTAATGCGAATGTTTTTATACCGAGTTGATTTTAATGCGAATGTTTTTATACCGAGTTGATTTTAATGCGAATGTTTTTATACCGAGTTGATTTTAATGCAAATGTTTTTATACCGAGTTGATTTTAATGTGAATGTTTTTTATACCGTATTTATTTTATTGTGAATGTTTTTATATTGTGTTGATTTTAATTTGAATGTTTTCATATTGTGCTGATTTTAACGTGAATGTTTTTTATAGAGTTGATTTTAATGTTAATGTTTTTTATATCACGTTGATTTTAATGTGATTGTTTTTATATAACGATGATTTTAATGTGAATGTTTTTATACCGAGTTGATTTTAATGCGAATGTTTTTATACCGAGTTGATTTTAATGTGAATGTTTTTATACCGAGTTGATTTTAATGTGAATGTTTTTTATACCGTATTTATTTTATTGTGAATGTTTTTATATTGTGTTGATTTTAATTTGAATGTTTTCATATTGTGCTGATTTTAACGTGAATGTTTTTATAGAGTTGATTTTAATGTTAATGTTTTTATATCACGTTGATTTTAATGTGATTGTTTTTATACTGAGTTGATTTTAATGTGATTGTTTTTATACTGAGTTGATTTTAATGTGAGTGTTTTTATATCGTGCTGATTTTAATGTGAATGTTTTTATACCATGTTGATTTTAATTTGATGTTTTTATATCGTGTTTATTTTATTATAAGGCACTTTGGTCACCTGTGAATGTTGTAAAGGGCTTCATATAAATAAAGACTGATTAATTGAACACTAACAGCTTTTAGTTTAATGTTACAATCCTATAAGGGCAACAATAGCTCAGATGGTTGAGGTTGTCCAAAGGTTGGCAGGTTCGAATCCTGCTCTTGAAGTAAACATCATCCATTGGTAGTTATAAAATGTTTAAATTTTTAAGTTTTGTAAATATAATGAATGAAAAAATGCACAAATGTGATGTTTGGTACACATACTTTGTAATTTGCTATCAAAATGTATAAATAAAATGTTTCTGAAATGGAGTGTTTGTAGTGTTGGTATAAAGCATTCTGTGTATGACTTAATGGAAAATAAAACATTTTTGAACCCAAAACATCGTTAGACCGTTCAGGTTGACGGTGCGATTCCAGCTCCCACAGATGAATGCTGTTGTTGTGTCCTTGGGCAAGACACTTAACCGACCTTGTCCCCAGTGTCTCTGTACACTGGTGTATGAGTGTGTGTGTGAATCGGTGAGAAAAGTGCAGGTAAATAATAACTTCTTTATAGTGATTTTTGTTTTAATCTGACATCAAGTAATACTATGGCAAATATTTGTATATCTGATCCTGATTCTAAAAAGTTTTATAATAAAATGCATTGAAACTTGTCTATTAAAATGAATTTTAACATATGTGCAGATAAAATTTCTCAAAAAATGCTTTAAAGGTGCACAGTGTAACTTTTCCACTTGCTTAACTCTATGTTGTTACTTCCTGAAATGTTCTACAATGTGGCATTTAATTTTGCTATCTCCATGACGACAAGCAGGTCACATCACCAGGTCAGATCTGTGGAGAAGTGGACCAGCTCGCAGAAATAATGCACATTTTGCGCTAGTTTTGAGAAATAAAATGTAATTGTAAATTGTAAATATGTAATTGAATTGAAAACAAGATCTTTTTGTTTAATGCTGTACTGTGGAACATTTGAGACAAAGCAATAACATGACCACAGAGACAAGCAGATAGCAGATCCACATAACAGAAAAGTTACACCTCACACCTTTAAGCATCCACATTTTTGGCCAAGAATCAATAATATTCAGTATCTCGGACTCTTTTTTTCGCTCTTATCTGCGACTTACTGTTGCTAGCGAGCCATTCGTTGAGGTCTATCTCCCGCGGCAACACGACCAGCTCCTTGAGGTCAAAGTCCACCACTCGGATCTTGGTGTAGTCCGGCTCCAGGTACAGCTTCTTCTCTTCCGCTGGAGGCTTCTTCCCATTTGGCTTCGTCTTTGACTTCCTGCGACAGAAACGAGACGAGAGAGTTTTGAGTGTGAAGTCAAAAAGAAGAACGATTGAGCTTTTGAGTGTGTTTTAGAGTGAAAATCTGTGACACCCGTGGATCATTGTGGCATAATTGTCATTTTAAATCACGATACTCATCTAAAACGAGTTAATAAAGGAACAAGTCAGTAGAGAAGTGAAAATATGTGTTTAAAAATTACTCAAACATGCTCGAATCACCCAAATTATGCTATTTTCTGATCAATATTGTTGCTTCATCATCAAAAACACACCTGAAGTTTTTGTCTAACACTAAATAATAATAAACGCTGCATATTTAAGCTGAGTTCGAAGTCATTTTTGCATAATACATGACCTGATTTAACATCCTTCCAACACAAGCAGCTTTTTTTTCATCTGTATTTCTTGCACTATAGCACCAACGTCTGTCACAAAGATATTTCACACAATCGCGCCACAAGCAGTTCCCAGAAACATCTCAAATAAATCCTCATTTGTTTGTGTGGCCGACCTCCAGCTCCGACCCCTGACCTTAACTGTGGTCTATAGACAGTCGTCCCCAGAGCCTTGTACTTCCACTGCTAGTTTTAGCGCCCCCATGTCAGGCCCCCTCCTCCCCCCTCTCTCCCTTCGTCCCGTGACGTCTGGACGACCACAGCCAGTGCAGTCCGAGGTCAAAGAGCAGGAAGTTTGATATAAAAATGCAGCTAATAAAATCTTACACTTGAAGCTGCTCTACAAAAATGAGTCTAATGATATTTCGAGTTTTGGAGACGTTCATGACCCAAGATCAAATTCAAAGATCGTATTACTTCTGGAAACTGATTTTGTAGTAACAGGAACACATTTTGTAATTATTTTCAACAGAAATACAAAGAAAGTATTGATTTATGGATCAATAAATAAAAGCTGGAACAATCTTTTGAGTAGGAATCCAGCTTTGTCCAGTTCCGATACTACAGCTTTAAGTATTTGCCGATACTCCAACCAGTGCAGAAATGGAAAACAGCATTTATTTCCTTAAAATTAAAATAAAAAAAGACAAAACTGAGCCAAATCTGTTACGTAGCTGTTAATTTTGTGGAATTAAAAGTTCAAATATTATGTGACTTTCTGGATGACTTAAATCTGTCCAACCAGGATATGAACTGAAAAGATATTTGGAAGCCGATATTTGATCCAGCAAAGGTTTCAGCATTGGCACCGATATCCGATTCCAGAATTGGATTGGTGCGGCCCTACTTTTTCCGTTTACTTTTTTAGACAGGCTGGCGCCACCTAGTGCCTTTACTCAATTTCATTTCTCTCCAGCGACTAAGTCAGGAATCGGAATACACTAAAGGGTTCACAAAAAGTCCAGAAGTGCGAGTTCAGGCACCAGCCAATCACCGAAGAGCCATATAATTTATGTTGTCAACGACTCCCAAGATCGAGGATTTAAATCCGGAACGAAGAGAATGTTTGGTGAATTTTATCAACGGGAAAGACGTTATTGCCCTTCTTCCTACAAGATTTGGCGAATTACATACGTCACGACCAAATAACAGGGATTGGTTAAATAACAAAGCACCCGCCTACCGTTGAGAGAAAGAATTCTAATGCTGCGAGGTCAGACGGTTTCTACGAAGTGAAACCAGGTGATGAACCAGGCTACTACTTTTTGAGAAAACTCAAAATTTATCATGTGCAGATTTTCTATAACATTAACATTTGAGCTGTAAAGACGTCACATCTACAGCAAAATTTTAATTAATTTTGTTTCATTCTACTGTTTATTTAGCTGTGTGTACGACTGAAATGTTTTTATCCTTCACTCTTTTCTGTTTTTAACGTAATTTTATGATGTTTGTGAAATCTCTTAGTTGTCCTGGGAGGATCCAAAGCAAAGGAGAAAACAAAATACACAAAAACAGAAAAAAATACTCCAGTTTTCTCCTTTAATTTAACGTGATTTGTTTGTGTTGTGATTTTAATGTCTTGAATTTCTTTGTGTACAATTCCTGCAACACAAATAAACTTACTGTACCTATCAATTACAGATCATGTTTTTTATTTATCATCTTGCTAATTTAAAAAGTGTTAAGCGTAATTATGCTTTTGGCTTACAGCGAGTGGCAGTTAGATTCAGTTTTATTATTTATCATAATAATTCCTGTAATAGGCCTAAGGTGAATTTCTGACAGCTTTCTTGGCTCGTATTTACTCCGCTGACAAAGTAATGGCCTCGTCCTTTGTGAGCCTGAACACAGAGCGGCTCATTTGACTTCGTTTGACGAGTTTATGGCTTTAATTACAAACGCGTGATAAGCTTATTGAAAGGAGTTGAAAGTATTTAGCGTGTGTTGGATTCTTGGCGGCATCAGCTCGTGTTTTTTTTTTTTTGGGTTTGTACGAGGCGAGGGAAAGGGCCGTAGCTGTACACTCCCTGGATTTATGGTGCGTGTGGTGACCCTCATTTCCTGTGCTTCTGTCGACACCCCTGCCTCCGCTGACGAAGGTTTTGGATTCACCTCTGTCTTTTCTCACTGTCCGAAAGAAAAAAAAACAAGTTCGCCAAGCTTGTTTTGTAGCATGTTTAAAAAAGAAAGAACCACTGCTCTGTCATAAACACTATCATAAAATACTCCAACGGTGGTGTAGGTCCCACTGGAGTCGCGTACAATTTGTGTATTCTTCTTTCATTCGTTTTTCAAAATAAAACCAAAAATAAGAAAATGAAGAAACACCAATTTTCTTCATTATTTGAAGAACTCCAAAACCAAAATGAAAAAAAAAAAAAAAACATGTTTTTTTTTTTCTTTTTTCAGGTTTTGTTTAAATTAATAATGGAAAAAGTGGATAACGTCCGTTTCCTGTTTCCGTGACTTAAACTGCGATGCCGGACTGAACCAGGACTGAACCAGGACTGAACCAGGACTGAACCAGGACTAAACTGTTTTCAGTTCTGGTCCGGTCCCAGTCTCAGTCCTGGTCTCAGTCTCAGTCCTGGTCTCAGTCCTGGTCTCAGTCCTGGTCTCAGTCCTGGTCTCAGTCCTGGTCTCAGTCCTGGTCTCAGTCCCAGTCTCAATTCTGATTTCAGTGCCTGTCTGGACCCGGTCTCAGTCCCAATCTGGTCCCATCCTCAGTCCCGGTCTCAGTTCTGGTCTGGTCTGGTCCCGGTCTCAGTCCTCATCCTGTTCCCGGTCTCAGTCCTGGTCTCAATTCTGGTCTGGACCCAGTCTCAGTCCCAGTCTCAGTCCCGCTCTCAGTCCTGGTCTGGTCCCGGTCTCAGTCCTGGTCTGGTCCTGGTCCTGTTCCCGGTCTCAATCCTGCTCTCAATTCTGGTTCCAGTCTCAGTGCCGGTCTGGTTTCGGTCTAAGTCCTGGTCTCAGTTCCGGACCTGGTTTAGTCCTGGTTCAGTCCATATGTGGTGCAAAAGTCCGGCATCACAGTTTAAGTCACAGAAACGAGAAACGACCGTTTATCCGTTTTTTCCATTATTCATTTAAACACAAAATCAAAAACTGAATAAACGAATCATTATCTGTTTTTATTTATTTATTTATTTTTATTTTGGAGACAAATAATAAAGAAAATAGTTGTTTTATAGTTTTCTTATTTTTGTGAAAACTGTAGCTCTTACACAAAATAATTTAGTAAAATATACCTAAAAATACTCTTGACGATATATCGATACAGCAGACCACGATATCGATACTGTATCATCAAATTAAACAATACGATAAATTGATATTTCAATATTTTTGCACATCCCTAGCTGTAATTTGCTTGTCTCCTTTGTGATTGATAGGTTTAATCTGTACTGTGGAACATTCTGGACAAAGCAATAACATTTCCATGGAGACCAGCAGGTGACGGACCTTCCACTAGAAAAGTTACGCAGTGCACCTTTAAGTCCAGGCTCATTCTGTTTGGTTTAGTTCACATTTAGGAGTCTTTTAATTCACAAACAAAATTCACAATCCAGGAATTTACTTTGGCGATCTGGTACCGTTTATGCACGCTTTTATTTCAACATCGTTTCCCTTTTCCTTTTATTCTTTGTTTATGTTGCGTCATAATTCCGAGGACAATTCATAGTTTGGGAATTTCGTTCACGGACAATAGCTATAAAATACATCATTCTTCTACTTCGGATTCTCATAAAACAAATCAGAAGTTCAGCCAGTCGAGTCTTTCAATTCTCGGAAAGTCTAATATACTGAGGTAATAAATTGTGTGAAATATTTGAGAGCCGTTGGATGAGCTTCTTGGGTGGATGCACAGCTAAGAGTAAACCAGCCCTGATCGTAACCGCGGCAACAACTAAACACTGGACTAAACATAACAAGAGGACCAGACGCACGAGGCTGCTTGGCTGTTTAAAGGGCCAACATAACGCAATTTTCTGATCTAATCCATGTTATAATGTCGTTTCCTCATTAAAAACAGAAATAGAGTTGCGTTTTGAAAGAGCTCCACTGTGTTTTTAAACTCCATACACCTTCATTGGAATCATTTGGGTAAGTTCAGCCAATCTCTATTATTAGGATTGTGCAAAAATATCTAAATATCGATATATCGTATTGTTTAATGTGATGATACAATACTGATATCGTGGGCTGCTGTATCGATATATCAGCAAGAGCACTTTTTGTTAAATTTCATCTAATTATTTTGTTACATCCCCAAGTTTGACTACCCCAAATTTGAGACATTTAAGACATTTTTAAGACTGCTTAAAAAGAAAATTAAGAAAAACAAAAAACACCAGGTCCAGTTCTAATAATGGCCATTCCTCACTGCTTTAAATAACAAAAAACTAAACTAACTATTATAAAATCTCATTCAGAACTCATTTATATTTGTATGCATTGCTTGTAAAATGGCCAAAAAATCATTTATAACATTCTAACAAGACAACCTAAGTATTGTTTGTGCATACTCCAAATTAGATGTTCACTGATATTACGTGATTTCACATTTAACATCACACTGCAAACCGGTTGAGTAAAC